AAATTTATTGAATATACATTTCGTCCTTTATAAGAAAAAACTGAATAGATGCAAGTTTATTAGGAAATTGGAAGAGTATAATATTAACTATCCATGAATTAGAGAAAGCTTCAACTTCAAATAGCCTTCAATTTGTTTCTATATTGTTTGATGACAATAGAGAAATGCAATTGGCCTTTCAGATAACGTGAGAGATCGAACCTATTAAATGCAAAAAGTTTACTCTATATAGAGTGAATTTGGGAGGACCCATTTTCTCCAAAGATTACAAAGTCTCTTTACTAGCTGTTATTTTTTCAATTATATTCAAAATTTGTGGCATAATCTTTTCCAACCCTAGGATTTTCCCATTCAATTACCTTCTTTTTTCATTCTATAAATGTTCTAACATGCCACTTTGTTTAAAAAAATTGAGTACAGTTTCCATGGACAAGTGATATGTTGGTATAAGAACTTTTAAAAAAACAAATTCCATACATAATTAAAAATATTTTTTTCAAAAAATACTTGTATAACAAGTTAACAACCTAGGAATATAATGTTTTGTTATTTAAACATTTCTTATAAACCAAGTTTAAGATAAAAAATGAAAATTTTTGAAATTATTTTAAACTAAAAATACTTAAAGTTATTTAATATATAATATATAAATGCAATAGTCTATTTTTGTGTATTCAAATTTTCTTAGATAATTTTGTTCTTACAACAACTTTCAAATCATTCCATTTCACTATTCTTCTCTCCCATTATTTTTTATTTACTTTCTATTCTTTTTTATTTTTCATAAATCTAACTAATAGCCTATATTTCATTATCTTTTTTGAATAATAGAGACACGTGTCTCTTATACTTGTTGTTCCTGCGTAAGAACACTCTTCTCCTTGATCCTTCCTAGTTGCCTTTAAGTCCTTATGAATCTTCCGTGCTGACCGAACACTAGCTCCGCGTGGTGGGGGAGGGTACCTACACAGGCACTCCGACGATCAAGTCAGTGTTCGGTTCAGAGCAATAAATGCATTAGCGAGAATAGTAACGTACCTCATTTATGTCACATCACCTGTGTATTTATAGTGATATGTGTGGGCCTAGTGGGCCTTCCTTCTTGGGAGATGGGTAATACGTGATTATCCTTAATCGTTGCTGATTAAGGACGGTAATTATTGTGTAACAAGTAATTATTGTCGAAATCTCATTCTGTCCGTTCTTCGGCCAGGCGCGGGGCCGAAAGGGTGTTCGGCCTATCCTAGGGCCGAAGGGGGCAAGACCGAAAGAGTGTTTGGTCTACTCCAAGGCCGAAGGGGTGTCCGGCATATGCCAATGCCGAGGAGGGGTTCGGCATATGCCAATGCCGAAGGGGTGTTCGGCATATGCCAATGCCGAGGAGGGTGTGTTTTGATACCAAAGGGATACTTGTTCTGTCCTTGGTGGTGGTGGAGGTATTGGGCCTATCCCAAGGTCGAGGGGGTGTTCGGCATATGCCAACGCCGAGGAGGTGTTCGGCCCAACCTCTAGCCGAAGGCGTGATGTGTTTTTTATCGGCTCGGGTACCTCTTTCGACCCATTGTCTGAACGGAGTGCCAATTGGCGTCCTATCGGATCGGGTACCCCTATCGGCCTATTGCCTGATCGAAGGGGTGTCAGCTAGTACACTTGTAATTATATAAGTAAATATAAATATGGCCGTAAAGTTACATGTAGAAAAGCCATTTTTGGTTTTCTAGCTTAAAATTTTGTATAGCTATAGGGTGATATATATTTCTTGATATGGTATTTAATTGAGTTTTGTTGATTTAATGATCCTCTTCCAATTTCCAACTCCATGTTTCAAGCAAGATGTTATTAAGGATGAGGTACTTAATGCCCCAAGACAGAATTCAATGTTTGAACCTTTTGGTTTAATCATTTTTAGTCCCATTTCAGGTTTCCACACACACACACAATATTTGGTAATTAATCAATTATAAAGAATAAAGGAATGAATTAAAAACAAATAACTTTTATTCTTAACATTTTCCCGAATTATATTGGCAGGTCTTTGGTAGTTCTGAAATGTTTATTTGGATCAAAATGGCTATAGATATAGTTTATTATTTTTGCACCCTAGCATGCTGTGAACTAGGGTTGGCACAACTAATAAAATAAACAAAAGAGAATGAATGCCAAAAGCAAGGAGTATATGGAATATTTTATATGCGACCATATTCCATCTTCCCTATTAAAATGCCACTATCACAGTGTTGTCCATTTTGAAGGACCACTCTGAACGGGTGGTGAAAGTGATGAAATCCAAGATTAGAATATTGTTCTCTTCACTTTTCACTAACCAGAAAATAGCAACTTCTGATTTTTTATTTATTTATTAGTATTCTTATTTGGGGTCAACGTGTATCGTTTCGAATTGGATTTGAAGTATATTTTAATTGAATTTGAATAATTTTAATTAGATTAAATTAATTTTATTTATTTATTTTATTTTTTAATCTTTAATCCGAACTAATTTCATCCAATCATATTTAGTTTGAATTGGATCAATTTATTAAACAATTTGTAAATGTATTTTCATATTCTTAACTGATAAAATATTTAATATTATAATTTTTTTATTAATATTACAAAGTACTACTTAAAACATTAAAAATTATAAACTTTAAAAGTTATGAACATTATTAAATTAAAACTTAAACTTGTCTAAATCTAACACTACAATCTAAAAATTTATCATATGTCATCCTAATATCATAAACTTAATAAAAATATCTCAAATGTTATAATTAATACTATAAAAATTATAATATGTAATCGATATTCAACTTTCACGAATATAAAAAACATTTACAATGAAACAAATAAAAATTTGTATTTCATTTTTGTCTTTGATATTGAAAAAATATGCCGGTTTTAAACAAAAATAGAAAAGTTGAAAATGATCCATTTATCCCTTCTTTTATCTTTTACTAATAATAACCCAAAATAAATATAATAAAATAATAATAATAATTAATTGGATACATTGGATTCTTAAAAATTAAAATCCGAAATTTGAACCGAATTGATTGAATTTCCGATTCTCCAATTCAAACCGATCTGATAATTGAACGAATCCATTTGTTTTTATTTTTACTTTTTTTTTATTTTTTTTATCGGATTAATTAAATCCGATGGAATCCAAGGCTACCCCTAGTTCTTATTGAACCAATGCATGGATGAACGAATATTTCTATGTTGTTTCTTACAAATAACCTTGATGTAGTTTACAAATTATGTTCTTCAACTGCAATTGTAGCAACAATACTAGATTATATAAGTTTTCTAGACTCCTCTTAACACCTTTTTCTCATATGTATCTAACAAATAATGCAATACAAAGTTGTTTAGGTAATTTTTTTAGTTAATTTTTCTTTATTTTCCAATTCATACCTATGTCACTACATTGGGTACCTCCAACAAGATATTTTAGTTCTTAGGACTAATGCATTAGTGTGCTATAGTTTTAGTCTTTTTACCTTTTTAGGTTTTAGTTATACACCTAGACTTCACCATGGGGAGGATCCTATCCTTAGCATTAGAGAGTCTAGTCCTTTTAGTTTAGACAATCTTTTTTAGCATTTTTAGTGGAACTCCTCTTAGGATAAA